ATGCGGAGCATGTTTAGCAGTGGATCATTTTCTGCTCATAGGTGATTTCCATCTGCTCCTCTGAGGCAAAGAAAGAGCGTTGTTTTGTGCAGAAGGAATATACCAGTCTAGCATGTCCAGATGAGGTATATTAAAGAATTTGATAAACTCCAGTATGTCCTTATGTGAAGAGATAGTTGAATCCTTTCATGTTGCACAATCAGGGAGAAAGGGAATCCCCAATGGTATTTAATGTTTCTCTCCTGGAGGGCATTATTAGTAGGCCAAAGTGCTCTTGTGCCCTTGAGTGTAATCCATGAGAGGCATGGGAATATCTTTATTTGGGCATTATCCAAACACAGAGTAGGAGAATTCTTTGATAAATGCAAAATATCCTTTGAGGCTAAAATAGTGAATCCTGCATATCATATCCTTTGTGATAGCACTTCCAATCCCTTTGGGTCTTATAGCTTTAAGACCCAAAGGGATTGGAAGTGCTATCTAGGGTGATCTGAGTATCCAAAAGCCTATGTAGTATGGCTTTAAAAAGCTTTTGTAGCGTGCCTTGTAACTCCTCAGATGAATTTTGAGATTCTGGAAGGTCTCTCCCTCGTAGGTTGTTTTATCTATCTTTATTATCAAGGTCTTCCATGTTCCTCACCACATGAGACATAATATTCTCTAAGGATTCTTGATATTGTTCAAGTTTCTGTAATGTAGTATGGACCGATTCCTTGCCCTACCCTAATTCATTCACTCCGGGGCCTATACAGTTTATGTTTTTCTCCAGGGCAGAGATTTGTTCTTGTACTGAAGACCTTCTTTCGAAGGCAAGTTTTAGTATAAGATATTTCAAGTCTGACTCTCTAGAGTATGATGATTGTTCTGAGTTTGTTGGACTCTGAGGAGGAGAATCACAAGGCAAACATGGTGCCGCCATGCTATCTTCAGGATACGCCAACCGAATTTTGGCTTTTTCTCTTAAGTATTTGTTGAGTATGCCAGCTTTCTTGCTAGAACTCAGGTGTAGGTGGTTCTGGGGTACTAAGGATTGCCTAGTTACATAGGCTGAAAAAAGACATGTCTACATCTAGTTTAGCTTTTCTGTTTTTTGCTGCTAATCCAAAAGAAGGCAAAAAAAAAAAAACAGTTTGAAGCACTTTCAATTTTGCAACAAACTAGGAAAGAAAATCCTTCTTGACCCCAGAATGGCAGTCAGATTTATCCTTGGATCAATAAGCTTTTACCCTACAGTTGAAAAATGATATCATTGAATATTATGTTTTTGCAAGTATGCATCTGTACATACTCTGATAAAACCACTTCTTCGGGCAAGAATTCCACATCGTTATTGTTCTTATGGTAAAAATAAACAAACATTTATTTTGCCTTAAACAAAATGTTCTTTCTTCCAGTCTAAACACATGACCTCATGTCCTATGCATAGTCCTGTTTGTGAATAGATTTCCACAAATGGTTTTTATTGGCCCTGGATATAGATGTATAAAGTTATCATATCCCCTCTAAGGCAACGTTTTTCTTAATTAAAGAGCTTTAAATTTGTTAACCTTTCTTCATATCTAAAATGTTTCATTCCTTTTATTAATTTTGTAGCCCTC